CAGGAAGTGCCCGAAGCCGACGAGGAGGACGTTGAGGAACTTCCGGAGTGCCCCGATCACCGCCCGAGCTCCTTCGAGAGAGGCAAGCCCCGGAGCATTTTCTCCCCGGTTTGCAATTATTAATTAAATGCTTTACTTTAACTAATGCATTACGTTTAGGAGTTGTTTGCAACCGTTGCTGCATTATACCTTGTATACTTTTGTTATACTATATCCTTGTTACCCTGGTATCTGCAGTCGAGTCAATGCTTAGCTGGCTTAGACCGGTAGAAGTCGGGTGATTTCCTGTCACCTGCGAGCTATAGGTGGTTACCTGGATCTGTTTGGATGACTATGAAGTCATGATATAGCTAAGTGTTAAATGAAGTTGAGACCGGGTGGAGACTTATAGAGTTTTGGACTGTAGTGCTTTCCGTCTGTGTCGATTAAGGATCGACCGTTGTTGGGCCTCGAGTCATGTTGAACGCATGCCTTACATTTAGCTGGCCGGATAAAGTACCTTCCGACCGTGAAGCTGGGAGATTATTCGGGCCGAGTAGATTGCCCACAACGCACTGTGCCGGAGCAGGTGTGGTAGGACACGGGGGCAAGATGATAAGACCAAAGTGCAGTCGGTCGACCCCTGGGTACATGTGGTTCTTGGCAAACTCGAGACTCCTGGATAGTTGACTCGGTGATCAATACCTCACTTTAGCGGGTGAGTGAGGTTTGTGTAAGGAATAAATCACCAGTTGGTTATGAATCTATTCGAATCGCCATCACTTCTGGATAGTGAGCACTTGACTTGAGTTACTTCATCGTAGTAATGTTAATGGAACACTTGGACAGTTATAATGCATATGACAATATGGAAGTGGTTAATGATCATTGGTTATCATTATTGGCTTAATCACATGTTTGCTCTAGTGTAGGTGCAAATCTAGTCGGTAGGTTATAAATAATTAACTTGACAATAATGCTTTTGAAAGGTTCTTGAAATGCTAAAAATGCCTCTTTTTGCAAATGAGTCAGCTACCTTACTATAAAGCCTTTCATAATCCTTGGTGTCATTTATTTTCGGTTATGTCGGGTAAGTTTAGCTGAGTACCTTCTCGTACTCAGGGTTTTATTCCCAATTGTTGCAGATGGGCATATGTATTACGGCTACTGTATCAACTGCCTTTATCCTGTGATGGGTGATGCTTAGGACCATGGGCATGGTCATTCCGTACGTCTCATCTAATGCTTTTTGTTGGAGATGATCATCAGCTGGCACTGTATTTGAACTCCGTGTGAGTGTGTGTGGTTTAAACAAATGGCTTCCGCTACTTTTATTTGAACTCGTTTTGTAATAACTATGTTTAAACTCTGATGTATCTGTGATGCGAACTTTTATGTAATATGTGATGGTGACCGCTAAACTTATTACGATCGTGGCTGGGATGTGAGTTGGTTTAAAATCCTTCGTGATTTCACGGACTACCGGGTTATACGGGCTTAAGTTTGCTAAATCGTCTGCTCTAGCGGATGATTTTCTTACTTAATTTCATATAATTGGTCGGTTGTGTTACAATTGATTCCTTAACCAATCGTTCCATTCTCTCCCTTGAAATATGGCCCAAGCGACAATGCCATAATTTCGAAGAGACAGTATCAATTCTCTTTCGCTTCTTAGTTACATCCGCAGATGGGGAATCATTCACATTCTCATCACATACATTGTTCGCATTCTCAGCAAGAGATATTAAATAAAGCTTGTCTTGTCAGAAGGCAAGACCAACACATTTATTATTAACCAGTATCTTACACTTGCCATCGCCAAAATGGCAATCAATTCCATTATTATCAAGTTTCGAAACACTTATCAAATTTCTACGTAAAGAGGGAACATAAACTACTTCTTTAAGTCTAAGTACAAAACCATTATTCAATTCTAAAGAAAAATCTCAAATGGCTTCAACATTGGCTTGCACTCCATTTGCAACTTTAATCGTTCTTTCTCCTCTTTGTAAGGTTCTCGTCCCACTTAACCCCTATAAAGAATTTGCAACATGAGTAGTTGCTCCTGAATCAACCCACCAAGTGGATTTGTCATAACATAAATACAGGGATTCATCTATAAATGTAATAAATTCATCACCTTTCTTTAGCAGAGATTTCAGGAAGTCTGGACAATCTCTCTTGTAGTGTCCCTTTTTGAAGCAGTGCTTGCACTGATCTTTTTCAGCTCCACCATACTGCTGATTCTCAGAATCCTGGGGTTTCTTTCCCTGTGAACTGGAGGAAGAGGTCTTATCCCACTTAGGTTTTCCTTGTGGTTTAGAATTCTTGCCATTAAAGTTCTTTCTTTTGTTATCCTTCACAAAATGAGCAGATTCACCTTGTGAGGACTTTATCCTCTCCTCTTCTTGAGCACACATTGAGATGAGTCTTTCAATGCCTCATCTTTCAGGCTGCATATTGTAGTTCACAATGAAGGTGTCATATTCTTTTGGTAAAGAAGCAAAAATCAAATGAATCAGGAAATCCTCCTCCTTCAAATTCATTTTTTTTAGCTTAGATGCCGTAGTGTTCATCTTCAAAATATGCTCTCTTATGCTACCACCAGTGAATTTCTCATTCACAAGCTTCATAATTGGTGAACTTGCTGTGGCCTTTTTAGATCCAGTAAACTGACTCTTGATTTTCTCAAGATATTCTTTGGCAGTAGCACATTCAGGGATTGAGCCCCTTATCTGTTCTTCTATGGTGGCTTTGGCTACCAACAGGCACTTACGGTTGGAGAGAGTCCATTGCCTATGTTCAAGGTCATATTTCATTCTTATTTCAGCATGATCACGCTTTCGAGCAGCGAAATCAGCGTCAGATTCATTGTCATCTCTCACCGGGTCCTCTGGCTCAGTAGGACACGGTGAGGTGATGGCAAAATCGACCTCTCCCAACGCAAGTTCTAATTCATACTTCTCCCACCACACACGGTGATTGGTTCCGTTGAGTGTCGGGATGTTGGCAATGTTCACAATGCATTTGCCTCCTGAAATCACACCAGAGTAAGAACATTTATACATAAAATTTCATGCTTTAACTCAACGTTGGTCAAATTAAAACTTATAATTCATCCATGCAAACATTTTACATTACCGTTGGGCAGAAGTAAAATTAATGCACAATTTCTCATGGATCAAAATTATAATATTGTTATTAACAACGTTGGTTAGAAAATAACAATATCATAATCGTATCAAAATTATCAGAAATTCATTTCTCTTAAAATTAAATTATCCCGTTGGTTCAAATTTAATCAAAGAGAACAATAATTATCATGCACAGCGGAAACATTAATAATCTTTTCATATTATTATTTTCCAGAATCACTAAAAAATTCACTGTTTTCTGAGCAAAATATCGTTGGATAAAATTTGCACAGAAAATTGTGTCAAAATCACTCAAATTCATCAAAATATGCATTTAAAATTGCTCCTGGAAAATAATAAGAAAATTTTTCTTCTTCTTCTTTCATTTCAGCCCAGCGCGGCCCAAGACGCGCTGAAAACCGGCTCGGCCCAGCTGTCCTCGCGCGCACAGGCCGCACCCAGGCCGCAACCTGGGCCTAGGCCGGCAAAGTGCCGCGCTCGCTCACCCCGCCTGGGCCGGCGACGGCCCGAGGATCCGTGGTCGTTGGTTCTGATCGGACGATCACACGCCGTCTTCGGCCGGATCAAAACCAACGCCGCGCCGGTGCCGTGGAAACCCTAGGTCATTCGGCTCTTGCTCTCTCTCTCTCTCTTCTTCTTCGCCGCTCTCTCTCATCTCTCTTCAGCCGCAGCAGCGAGCCACAACCGAGAGCGAAGGAGCGATGAGCGAGCGGGGAAAGCAGAGCGGGCGGCCATGGAGAGCCTTGGCGCCGTCGCCGGCCCCCTCACTGACGCGCGTGCTCCCCAACGGGTGAGCACGCCGCCGTCGAGCGGGCTGGCCACGGCGCTTCCTTGGCCGAGCCCGGCGAGCCCGCGCCCCCGGCTCGGCTTCTTCTCCCGCGCCGGCGAAAGGTTCATCCGACGCACCCTAACCCTAACGCATTTTTCCCCTTTCTGATTTTGAGTTGTTCTTTTCGGGTTTATCCGAATGGGAAAAAACTAGGGTTAGGGTTAGGGTTCGTTCTTGCCGATTCGTTTTCTTTGCTTTCGTTTCTTTCTTTTCGTTCATCCGAATGGAAAACTGGGATTAGGGTTAGGGTTTCGACCTTTCTTTCTTTCTTCTTCCCCTTTTCTCTCTTTTGGATTTGCGTCTAGGGTTCTCGGAATCCGACCCTCCCCTTTTCCCTTGTTCCGATTTGATTTAGGAAATTAGGGTTAGTTCTTAGGGTTCGTTTTTCTATTTTCTTTCCCGATCCGCATCAGATCGGTCGGTTTCACTTCCCCGATCTGATTTCTTGTCGAACCGTGGCTCCGATACCATTGTTAGACTTCGTTTTAGGCATATTCATCAAATCGGGATACATAGTAGTAGAATAGGTGTTCAGGATTCACAGAGAGACAGAGAGAAAGGGGGTGATAGGTAGCAAACCATCAAAAGCCGTAGTGGTCGAAGCTCCGGCCGGGGTTTCGTTGACAGACGCCATCTGCGCGCCGGCAGCGACGTTCGGTGGAGAGGGAGTCGGCGCTGTGGCATCCTCGGCGGCGGCGTGTGCGTCGGGGTGGCGTTGGCGGTGTCGGTGGTGCTTCCCGTCGCTGGCAGCGCCCCTTCTCAAGATCGGGTCTAGGGTTAGGATGTCGGTGGGTGACTAGCGGCGCGGTGAACCTCGTACTGCGAGTCCCGACCCCCACCTTTCCTTTATAGCGCTGTGCGACGAGGGCCCACCAATCATGTAGGGTTGGGCGCCCTCGATCAGGACGCGAGAACAAGGTCCAAAAGACCGTTGGGCCTAACTGGTGGGAGATAACAATATATATATATATATATATAAGCATTATTTAATTTAACAATAATTGAACATGCTGGACCGATGATATTTTTTGCTGCAGAGAGGCGCTGGAGGAGTACGCGAAGGCGATGGAGGAGCTGGCGTTCAAGCTGCTGGAGCTGATCTCCCGGAGCCTGAAGCTGAGGCCCGACCGGCTGCACGGCTTCTTCAAGGACCAGACCACCTTCATCCGGCTGAACCACTACCCTCCGTGCCCGAGCCCCGACCTGGCCCTCGGCGTGGGGCGGCACAAGGACGGCGGCGCCCTGACCATCCTGTACCAGGACGACGTCGGCGGGCTGGACGTCCGGCGGCGCTCCGACGGCGAATGGGTCCGCGTCAGGCCCGTGCCGGACTCGTTCATCATCAACGTCGGCGACCTCATCCAGGTGTGGAGCAACGACAGGTACGAGAGCGCGGAGCACCGGGTGTCGGTGAACTCGGCGAGGGAGAGGTTCTCCTTGCCCTACTTCTTTAACCCGGCGAGCTAAACCGTGGTGGAGCCCGTGGAGGAGCTGATGAGCGAGGACGACCCGCCCAGGTACAACCCCTACAATTGGGGCGAATTCTTCAGCACCAGGAAGAACAGCAACTTCAAGAAGCTCAACGTGGAGAACATCCAGATCGCGCATTTCAAGAAGAGCCTCGTCCTCGCCTAGATAGCAAAGATACTACAGGACTAGGACAAGCAGGATCCGTTCCATGCCGAGGTGACCGGCCGTCGTCTTCAGATCGATGCAGAGGACGCTATATATGCGTGTCGCCGTTCGTGTTAGAACAAATATATGTGCGTGCTGTGTGTGAACATGGATGTGAATATGTGTGATGAGCACTCACTCCTACTTTGGAGGTATGTTTGGGAATAATAACAGGCTTGCATTCTGACGGTCTGGTTTATTTGCAAAATCAAACCGAGTTGATTCATCTTCCTCGATCGGATTCCAACCAGAATCATGCGCCATATGTATGGCTGCGACAGCAGTACGGAAGAGCAAAAGTAGACCTCGCTGTCACGGTATGCCAACGAGCCGATCGAAGCGGAGCACACCAAAACTAAATGTAGTCCTGAAAGGCTGAAACTGAATTACGATGGATCTTACACCGTTACACATAAGAATTCAGAGTTAGAGACAATGTACAACAAGTACCTCATGGGTGAAACCAAGTCAAGGAGTCCTAAAACTGAATTATGACCGATCTTACTGTCACACAACAAGTGCACACCCGAGACGCAGATGGTGTCATTGTCCATGTAAGAAGGGACGGATAGATCATCTCTTATTCTCTTCGATTTCTTCCAATCTGAAGCAATCGCGTGCCTTTAGGGGTTCAAAGCTGCTGTATTATTAGAATCAGAGCATCACCCATGTTTTTCTTTTTTTGAATGTCTACGGGGGGATTGCTCCCCAAAACGGCCCGTGAGAGCAGTTACAAATATTGTGTTTTACATTTTGACGAAACTAGGAGCAGCCTAGGCTAGGGCAGCACCCATGGAGTCTAACATTCGTAGTAGTTCTAGTACAAATAAACTGATCCACGTAGACTAGGAAATGTTGAAATTATTATTCACACAATGCAAACTATCATTACTTGTGGTTTGCACCGAAACTTTTTTCCTTTCATCGTGTCTCATCTTTATTTACTCTTCTTCTTTTTTAGCATGGACCATCTTCTCTCTCCTTAATCATATATAGCTTATGCAAGCCACTATGACAAGTGTAGAGCACCTACTTTTTTATCCTATCCTACATGATCCTTCGGGCTAAAGGTAAAAAAGCAGCGTTAGAGAAGGCCTTACAACTCAGGATGCCATTGCGTCATGGTCTCATGGAACAACCGGCACCAAGTATCTACTATCGGCCTTTTCTTCCTCGGCAGCCTCACACGCCATTGTTCAGCTTCACTTCTGCAGGTGCCTAATAGATGCTGCACTGAAGGCTGCTCTGATCTGAAAACGAAAGCATCACGCCGTTTCCACAATTGCCAGCATGAGAGGGCAATGAAGGTCCCAAACTCCTGTCTTGGCACACTATTGGGGCAATCTAACTTGTGTAGTTGACTGACATCAAAACCAAGAGTCATGTTAACTCTAATCTTTGTCCAAAACTGCCTTGCAACATGGCATCCATTGATGATGTGTTCTGGGCTTTCATCGGCTTCACCGCGTACTTCACATGTAGCATTGGGGACGATGTGCTTCCGGTGCAAGTTGACGCGGCACTGGATACGTTTTTGTGACAGTAACCACATAAACAACTGGACCCGTGGTGGAGCTGAGGTCTTCCAGATGAAGACCACGCTTTCATCCGCTTCCTGTCCACGGGCTTTCAGAAGCTTGTATATACTTCCAGTGTCCAATTTGCCTTCACCGCAGCTGAAAGGAGACAGCCGACGGTCCATATCTTCAGTTAAGTTTACTGCATCAATCACGTTCTGCATCTCCTGAAGTTGTTGCGCTGCCATTGTTGAAAGTCTGGAGACCATGGTACCCTGGAGTCCATCCTCGACAACCTGCTGCACCGAAACATCCTGTTGCCTGCAGTGACTGAGGAGGGCTGGGTATGTGTCTCCTAGAGCATCGTCACCATACCAAACGTCGAACCAGAAGGAAGTGCTCTTTCCGTCGCCGAGGTCAACAGTGGTGATGGCTTGGTAAAGGGGTAGGATGGATCGAAGTACATCCCAATGTCCCCCCTGCAGGTCTCCTTTCAGTGTTGCGGTACATGCTCTCTGTCTTACCCATTGTGCCCATGCTGAATTTTCAGAGCAGTGCAATCTATGAACCAATTTCAGCAGCAAGCAAATGTTTTGCGTGCCCACATCCTTGATGCCCTGCCCTCCTAGGTCTTTTGTAGTGCACACATTTGGCCATGCCACCAAACACTTTGATGGAGAGGCTTTCCCATCGGTTTTCCCAGACCACATGAAGGCGCGGCGTCGTTTGTCCATTTGCTGAATCACTGATGTAGGCAGTGGTAGAGAACTCGTGAAGTAGACGAGTTGGCTGTCTAGAACTGAATTAACAAGTACCACACGACCCATTGTGTTAAGGAGGCTCGCCTGCCAGGAAGCAAGATACTTGTCTGCTTTCTGAATATACGGAGTGTGAGCTGAGGTGGACAACTTATTTACTGAAAGTGGGAGGCCCAAGTAGGTTTGAGGGAAACCTTCTCTTCTGCAACCCAGTTCACAAGCTTGCACTGTATCTTCAGCCATATGGATTGGCACAACCGTACTCTTGGCATAGTTAATATGCAGCCCTATCATGCTAGCAAATTGATCTAGCAGAACCTTCAGAGTTCTAATGTCCTGCAAGTCACCTTTTAGCACGATTAAAGTATCGTCGGCGTATTGGAGTACTGCACAGGGCTGTCCAACACAAATTGGGTGTGTTATACTGTTAGTGTTTGCCTTGATCATGCACTGTAAAGTTTCAGCCACTAATAGGAAGAGATAAGGCGACAAAGGATCGCCCTGACGAAGTCCTCTTTTGCAGGTTATCCAAGGCCCAGGGCACCCATTCACCATTACCGCTGACTTGGATGAGGCAAGAATTTTATGTATCCAATTTACCCAGAGATCATTGAAGCCCCTTGCTCGAAGAACTATGAACAGACCCTCCCAATTCACCGTGTCAAATGCTTTGGCAAAATCCAATTTAAGCACCAGCGCCGGTAGCTTCCTTTTGTGACAGACTTGCACAATTTCAGTGGCGTACACAAATGTTTCTGAGATTGATCGCCCCCGAATGAACCCTGTTTGGTTTCATGCCGAGGTGACCGGCCATCGTCTTCAGATCGATTCAGAGGACGCTATATATGCATGTCGCCGTTCGTGGTAGAACAAATAATGGGCGTGTTGTGTGTGAACATGGATGTGAATATGTGTGATGAGCACTCCTACTTTAATTTGGTATGTTTGGGAATAATAATTCTGACGGTCTGGTTTATTTGCAAAATCAAACCGAGTTGGTTGATCTTCCTCGGATTCCAACCACAATCATGCGCCATATGTATGGCTGCGACAGCAGTACGGAAGAGCAAAAGTAGCTAGGCCTCGCTATATCACGGTATGCCATTTCCAACGAGCCGATCGAAGCGGAGCACACCAAAACAAACTGATGTACCTTTTTCCGTTTTTTAGATTATGGTTAGCTATTACCTCTGTTCTGAATTATAAATAGTTTTAGCTTTTCTGGTAGACATAGTGTATATCTAAGTGCATAAAAAATCCATGAGCTTAGAAAAAACTCGAACGAATTACAATTTGGAACGGCCCAATTAAAAGGAGCACATTGAAAAGACTAACAAAAATACCAATGGACACGGCTATCGCATGGCTGGCCATGCGTTAGGCCACTCGCACGGTCGGCCGCTCCGCACATGCGCGCTCCTCTCTCGTCTTCCCGCGGTCCAACTGTCTATCTTCTTCCTCCCCGAGGTCCCACCGTCCCGCCGCCGCGGTCTCACCGCCCCGCTGCGGGCGAGCTAGGGTTTCGCCGGAGCTCGGCGACCATGGGCGCTCCAGTGAAACCTTACCTCGCCCGCGGCGCCACCTCCCCGCCATGGACATGGCGCCCCCGCCCTGACTTGGCCGGTTACCTCTACCACCGCCAGGGCCCCTAACTGCCCTCCAGCCATCCGCACTGCCTGGCCGGCCTTCTTCCCCCCCCCCCAACTTTCCCTTCTAAGCCCGCTGAGTTGGGGGAAGACGAGATGAAGAGCTCGCTGGAACCCTAGCTCGCAAATCTAGGAGGAGGAGGAAGCTACCTACCTTACCAGGGCGGCACCGTCGTTGGAGCTGAACCCGCCGGAATCCCAAGCCGGCGCGGCGCAAGGATGCGGTGGGGCAAGGTTGTCGGGGAGGAGGTCACCGGTCATCAGAGAGAGAGAGAGAGAGAGAGAGAGCATGTTGAGGCATGCGGGTGTGCGGTGTGTTTATCGCCCGCACATCCATAACAAAGTCTTTACCTAAATATAAATACTTTGTTCCATGACTTGGCTCAGGATCAATCAATGCAGCCCCACTCACACAGTGTGCCATTCATCTCAAGAAAACACATTTGCAATACGTAAACATTAACAAATATCTTGATATTAATCACTTTGCAATATCAATTTTGTTTCGGGCCAATTTTTCGTCACACATGATCTCACACTTACTTGTCCCACAATATTTCAAAAATTGCATATAAAACATAGCCGGCATTCCATCGGCACCTATAGCTTTGAGGTCATCAATATCTTCTAAGTCACGTTTAATTCCCTCATCGGTATATTCTTTAATTAGAAATAATTAGAAAATCATTATTTTTTTAAAAGAACGGCAGGAGATCTACCAATTTGTGTACTGATAGAGAAGAGTTACAAAACATAGCAGTTACAATGGTCAAGTAGCTCATCATATTAGGAACCAATCTTCTAGTGTACATGATCATCATAGCGTGAACGTGCTTGTGATTCAAAAAAAGTTCTATAAAATTACTCATATATAACTAGTTAATCCCTCTAGTATCCTCCACTACGCAGTCATGGTCGAGTCGTGAAACTGAATTATGATGGATCTTACTGTCAGGCAACAAGTGCAGGGGGGGAAGGGGCCGATAGATTATCTCTTCGATTTCTTCGAAGATGAAGTAATCGCGTGTGCCTTCAGGGAATCAAAGCTGTTGTATTATTAGAACGAGAAGATACTCCATATGTCGCCGTGGTGATTGCGAAAACTTAAAAATAAAATTAAGTAGAAATGACATAGATAGTTTGCATTAAGAGGTTGGAATTTAGTGGAATGACATGTCTACGAGTGAAAGATAATGTGGATAGTAAGTGGAACGTGATAAGAATGTCTCGCATGTTGAGATCGAACTTGAAATGACGTGGATAGCTTGCATTAAGAAGTTGGAAGTTAGTGGCATGACATGATTATTAGTGGAAGATGATGTGGATGTCTTGTATGTTAAGATAGAACTTGAGATGACGTGGATATGTTACATTAAAATGTTGGAAGTTAGTGGTATGACATGTCTATTAGTGCAAGATAATGGGGATGTCTCGCATGTGATAGAACTTGAGATGACGTGAATAGCTTGTATTAAGAGGTTAGAAATTAGTGGTATAACATAATTATTAGTGAAAAACGATGTGAATGTCTTAGATATTGAGATATAACATGTAACGAGGATTAACTTTATAAAAGATATCAGACATCGCCCACGTTGAACTTGAGACTGATGCTTCGATGAGCACAACTGCACAAGTAGTTGCTGATAGGGACGATTACCGGATCTCCCACTCACGACGTTGACCCGTAACCATCCCAGCACACCTCAGCACGAAGCGGACCTCCACTATGGACGACGCACTCGTGCAGGCCACCGAGCACCGGCCTGTGTCGCCCGTCCCCCAGGCCACCGGCGTCCCGGTCATCGACCTGTCACCGCTAGCTGGCACGCCGCCATCGCCGGGCACCGTGGATGCGCTGGCGGCCGAGGTGGGCGCGGCGTGCCGGGACTGGGGCTTCTTCGTCGCCGTGGGCCACGGCGTGCCGGAGGCGACGGTGGCGCGGGCGGTGGAGGCCGGGCGTGCGTTCTTCGCGCTGCCGCCGGAGCGCAAGGCGGCCATGCGGCGCACCGAGCAGGCGCCGCTCGGGTACTACGACGCCGAGCACACCAAGAACGTCCGGGACTGGAAGGAGGTGTTCGACATCTTCCCGCACGAGCCGCCGCCGACGACGACGCAGGCCGACGACGAGCTGGTGTTCGTGAACAAGTGGCCGGACGACGGCGACCTGCCGGGGTTCCGGTACCCCTCTCTTCTCGCCACCTCTAGCATACTGTAGGTGACTCTGTCTGCACCCACCACCACCACCGTTGACTCTGTTTCGCACGCAGAGCGGCACTGGAGGAGTACGCGGCGGCGATGGAGGAGCTAGCCTTGAAGCTGCTGGAGCTGATCGCTCGGAGCCTGCACTTGAGACCCAACCGGCTGCACGGCTTCTTCGGAGACGGTCAGACGACGTACATGCGGATGAACCGGTACCCTCCGTGCCCTCGGCCGGACCTCGCCCTCGGCCTCGGCCGCCACAAGGACAGCGGCGCCCTGACCATCCTGCGCCAGGACGACGACGTCGGCGGGCTCGACGTGCGGAGGCGGCCCGACGGCGAGTGGGTGCGCGTGGAGCCTGTTCGTGGCTCGTTCGTCGTCAATGTCGGCGACGTCGTTCAGGTGCCTGCCTGCCGATCGAGGTCCTTCATCCATCCAATGCTACCTGCAGCCTGCAATCTGCAGGGTGATGCTGTCGTTGCTGAACAAATAAAAAAGTTGTGTTTGGATTTGGGTTGCAGGTGTGGAGCAATGACAGGTACGAGAGCGTGGAGCACCGGGCGTCGGTGAACTCGGAGAAGGAGAGGTTCTCCATCCCCTACTTCTTCAACCCGGCCATGGGCACCCTGGTGGAGCCGCTGGAGGAGATGGTGAGCGAGAAGAACCCGTCAAGGTACGACGCGTACAGTTGGGGCGAGTTCTTCAGAACCAGGAGGAGAAGCAACTTCAGGAAGCTGGATGTCGACAACATCCAGATCGCGCAACTCAGGAAGGACAAATAAAGGATAGCGGATAGCCATGCCGGCAAGAATAAATTCTGTCTATTTTGGATTTGTTTCGGAATAATAAATGAAAATAAAGCCAAACACAACTTTGTTCAGATAAAGCGACACCCAGAATGTCATCACCGGCAAGCGTCCGGACGGCTGCATGCACCGAGAGCCAACGAGCGCGTAGTGTATCAGGTTCGTGAGCGAGCGGACCAATAGTGGATCCGTACTGCAACACTCCCATCCACTTTTAAAACATTCAGATATAATAGTTGCAATATATAAAAGAAGACATATGAAACACTTGAAATAAGCGTTCGAAACACTTACGAAAACACCTGAAAAACATTTGAAAACCATTGCAAACATATGCAACATCCAGATTAAACGCTTACAAACATACGTATGAAACACCTAAAAACGTTTGAAACATATGCTTACAACATGCATGTATGCAACATCCTGATCTACTTTTGCAACGTCCAGATAAAACACTTGTAACATTTGTCTGAAACATATGAAATATTTGGAACATACACTTGAAACATACGTGTATAGCCATTACAACATGTGTAGCATCATGATCTACCTTTGCAATATCTGTACGAAACACTTGAAACATACATCTGAAACACATGAAACATATGCTTGCAACATGTTTGAGATGTCTGTAAACACTTAAAAAACACAGCATTGCCGGCGACCATGGCCTGCCTGGTGGTAAACTGCGTGGGCAGGCTTCCCCTTTCTGCCGACGACGCGAGGTGAATGGAGACACAGGCGCAGGCACAGGCCACCTCCCTAGGCGCTAGGCCTCCCCCTGCCTCCCCTTCCACGACGGGTGAGGTGGATGGTGGCGCAGCGCGGGCGCGTAGAGTAGCGAGGGAAGGGGCCGGGTGCCTCGCGGAAAGGAGCAGCGTGGGGAGGGCTGGGCATGCATTTGAGCAAGGCTTAGAGCAGGTGAGGAAGACACAGCCTGAGTGGGAATTTTTTTTCTTTTTTATTAGAGGTTGGTCCGCTGAAGCGCAGGAGGAAGGCAAGACTGGGAGCCGCATCTGACTGGACAGACGGTCGTGGCTGAACTTTTCCGAAAAAAGCATATATACATCTGGCAATGTTTTTTTTTGGAAAATCATAGCATGCGCATACTCCCTCTGTGCCTAAATATTTATCGTTTTTTTTGTACCATAAGTTTGACTAGATTATAGAAAATATGTGCAGCATTTGTATCTCCAAATAAATTTATTATGAAAATAAATTTAATAATCTATCTAATGATATTAATTATGTACCATAAATATTAATATTTTTTATATAAAATTAGTTAAAGTTATTTCTCAAAAAGCGAAAGCGATAGTTAAAAATATACAAATTGAACCGGCGCGTCTTGAGTTTGATGGAAGCACTAAGTTCTTGCTATTGAGTGACATATCGCAAAATAACACTCTTTACATATAAAATGGTGTACTCCCTTGGTCTCAAAATCAAGGCATCCAAATATACCACATAAAACCTAATAATAAGGACTAGAAAGCTATTAAAGACCGCTTTTAAAAAAAGCAGTCAGAAAGGAAAACTTCTATCTATGGAGGCCGTTTAGTTTTGATAAACTCTATTTTGAGCAGTGTTTCTATGTATATGATGTCCTTTTTTGAAGTACTGAAAGGGATTTCAAAAAGATATTTATAGTTCTAGTTTATTTTGGCAACGTGACAATCATAAGAAAATATAGACCAACAAAACTAGGTGTCCTATGCTTACCAAAGGAGCAAAGAAGTTTAGGAATCTTAGACCTAGAGACTCAAAATGTTTGTTTAGCAAGTGGCTCTTTAAATTAATCAATGAAGATGGAGTTTGACAACAACAACAAAATATGAAGAAGTACTAGAAAAACAAAACTATAGGTGAAACTCATTACAAGCAAGAAGATTCACACTTATCAGCCCAGTTTATTATGGTTGAGACGAATGACTTTATTTTTGATAAAAGACTTTTGGTCTATCCTCCATAAGGAACATTGTGAATCAGTGATGGCATCGAAGGGGATGATGGAGATGGGCAAATACATCTTCTAGACGCAATAATCGAAGCTTTAAGACGCCATGACACCATTGTGAAATGGTTCAAATATTAAGATTCCTGTGAGAATATATCTTTTCAGTAAAGTATTTGTATAATTTTGAATGAAAATCTTGCATCCACTAAATATTCTGCGTTGTACTGTTTCTTCTGAATTTTATGTGCTCGTAGAAACATTCGCGTTCCAATACGCCCTCTAATGATTAGCTGGTTAATTTCTAGAGGAGGAGCGTATGTGCACGCGGCCGGAATACGAAGCACCGTATCGGAGTTGGCTTCGGAATCTGCAAACCGAACGGGATCGCAGCTCCGAGATGGCAACCTATAAATCCAACGCGACGGCTTCTTTTTTTTTCTTCCAAAACCAGAAGCAACTAGGAAGAAGGGAAAAAAAGTGCGGAAACAGGTCGGGCAAATCCACCAAAACCGGCCCACACCAAATCTCCGGTGACTGGGTGGGTCAGAGCTCGCAACTCGCACAGCACAAGCACCAGTGCACCACCAACCCCAGGGCAGCCGCGCCGCCGGCCACGAGCTTAGCAACCCTTGCACTCGCTAGGGTATTTATTGGTCCAGTCGGGTGATTTGTGTGCCGAACAGAGGAGGCAATGGCGTTCACGACGCTCGGCGGCTGTGGGGCGGCTTCAGTGCGGTAAACTAATTTTAAATCTAACATTGTTTTATTTTTTTCCCCAAAACTAACATTTTTTTACCGCGCCTATTTTCATGGCGCGGCGAAACGCCTGTGTCGCGCCATGCATGGTGGCGCGGCGAGGGGATGACGTGGCGACTACCGGGGCGCTGACCGGTGACGTGGCAGGGTCTGTCGCGCCACTGATCTTGGCGCGGCAATGCCGCAATGCCGCGCCATGACCCACGGCGCGGCAGGACCTGGACGCAAATAGAAGCCGACCAGCCTCAATTCCAATTGAACAGGAGCTGCTGTCGGTGTTGTAAATAACTACAAGTGCTGACGCAATGCATTGAAACGAATATAAAGCAAATAAATGGAGTCCGTACGTAAGTTGACAAGTTGTCACATAATATTTTCATTGGTTCGACATAAGTTCGACATAACCAACTAAATCTGCAAGTTTCGGATGACAATATTCGTTCGACATAACCAACTAAGTCACATGAGTGTAAGGATTCCTCGGACGTCTCTGTCTCTTCGGATTTATAGGCAAGACATTGGGAGTGTAGCCAACGTCGGTGTGGTTACGTTGCCGATGCGTACGGCTCGTATCCTGCAAGTATATGATATGCACGATTACTTATAATCTTTATGATCGTGAGTTCATGGAGCCTACGTATTTAAAGAAACTATCTTTGTTACTACATGTGAGGCTTCTTGAGTTTGGGGCACCACCTAGCTGAGACATGCCGATCTCGTCCTGTTGCCAAAGGTCCCGCTGGTGGTGCTGTATGCGGAAGCCCGGGGGTCGTCGTCGTTGTCATCGTTGTTGTCATCGTCGTCCTCGTTTGCAGGGTCCTTCCCGGCGCTATAATGTGGTGGTGTACACACGGTGAAGCGGCTTTATCACCGGCCGAGAAGAGCCTTTTGGTGTCCTCAAAGAGTCGAATCGTGTTAGGGTAATCGGGTTCCACCCAAGGAGTGTCCATGCAACTTAACTTCTGAGCTAGCTTCCTGCAGCTCCGCTTCACCTTCTGCATGAATAGACATTAAAGTTAGTGCATTTCCCAAACACATATGCACTAAAGAAATATTTTTGGAACGGACAAGTTTATGTTTACCTCCACAAAACGAGAACGCATGCCCCCTGCCCTCTAGACTCATGAAGCTAAAACGTTGCTTCGTTGGACAGCCTTGACGATTGTGTCGCATAGGTACAGAAACGCGGTTGGACAATTTTAGTACATATACTTAATACCAAATGGATAACAAATTGTACCATTCGAGTATCTTACCACGTATCTTTGAAGCGAGGCTCTCTATAGTTGTGTGTCATCCCTAGTGGCAACGTCGTACACATCTTCGATCACATCTTCCTCGTCGTCCTCGTCAATCGCCTCCTCAGTGTACAAGGGCTTGATATGTGTCCTCGTAGACCTATGAAACCACCGCAGGTACTCGTCGAAGGTGTGTTGGTCGTGTGGGGGACCCGCATCGACCTGCTACCGGTCCCTGGTCTGCCACAACTAGATGTACGCGTGTTGTGTGTCACGCGCCAATCCTTAGTCTTGTACCTCTTCCTACGGTCATACCTGCAACAAAATGATTGTTAGTTGTACCATACACACCTCTAAATTATAGCTTTGTTATTAATCGATAACGCACCTGTGCAATTCTTAGTTGGTGGAGTAAAGCGGTGGTGGTAGCCTGTCATTCTTCCAAACTGTCCGCAAACCCTGATGGGCAAGTGAATCTCGACCACGTGGAAGAAAATAAGAGGGACATTGCAGCGATACTCGTCTGACTCATCCCTAGTGACATGACTCAGATAGTCCTAGAGCTCCAGAGCATCCCAAGGACACCAATGCACCTGAACATTTCATAATTGAGTTAGGTTGTGATATAGTGTACATCGAACAAGACACATGTATGATAGTAAAGAGGGCGTAACCTGGTGCTGTGTTAGGACGTCGAGACAGTTTGTGTACTCCCTGTACTTGCGCCTTGCATTCCCTCTAACTAACTCTACTTGCGTCCGGATATACAGAGTTGTAGGGAGTGTATCCTGCCCGTTCCAATGCTGCATTGAACATGATAAAAAATTAGCCATTAATACAGAGCTGTAGGGAGTGTAACTACCACGAAGAATATAGTGAACCGAAGTACTTACAAGGAAAACCAATACAAGGGGCCTCCCAACGGGCCATCGTTCCCAACACCAAACCTGGAATAGGTAGGAGCAACCCCCAAGGTTTGCATACCCTGAGGTGCGATGGCAGGCCACGCATAGCTGTCGATA